TAGATCACCTAATGAACGATCGCTGAAAAGTTACTGAGATCGCGGAATGAGTGCGCCACCTTCCAATCTTTCTCGAAGTAGTTAAGCCTAATTACACGAATATGCGGATGGTTTCTTGAGTATATTCTTGTAGAGGGAATCAAGTAGATCATTTCTAGAGAAAACCCGATCTCAATATCCGAATTCTATCGAAAGAAAAAGAGCCGCAAAAAAATCCGCAATAATTATGCATCAACCTAATACTTTAAGTGAAATTTCGTACAGTTTTCTTTGAACGTTGGCTCATGTCTTTCATTTCGGCCCTCATAAACTTGATTTATTGTTAGCCTTTCGAAAGCATGAGCTATTTGCTGTGTGCAAGGTTGCTGCTAATTGGAACATATTCGCCCGTGAATGCATTAGGGCTACCCATGACAGATTCGATTCTGCTCTCAGCTTTACGAAAATTGTGGACATGACGTCGTGGATTACTGCCAAAATCTTATTATTATCTTCTACTGCATGAGCACAACTGCTCATGGAATTGGCAGTAGACCTTAATCTTTCCTTTTTTGTGTTGTTTTGCAAACCCTTTTACTTTCAACTTTTATACGCTTCTCCTATGTTGGTGCCGTCTGTTAGTTCCATATTAGGTTGCTTGATGCCTTCACTCGAAATTCCTCTTCCGGGCGATTTAACAAATGCTGTTTTTCAAGTGCTGCTTCATTTCAATATATGCACAAACTCTTTCCATGATAGGCTGTAGAGACTGTATGGATGGTTTGAAGTGATAGCTGAGGTTTTCTCACATCAAAACGGTGGGCATGACAATTGGGCCATGGCATAGCTCCGTATCATCATAGCGTTCGACCCGATCGCATGGTCTTCTTCTTATGTAAATTCATGATGGTCGAATTCTTCGCATCACATTCCTCCCTGTCTCTCTCTTTCTGGTTGATCGATCATATTCTCGATGATATCTTCCATCGGCATTAGCTCGATGCCTATTCTTAGCTGGCCTTGCTAGCTTCCTTTACTCACAAGAATAACAAACTACATAACGACTCAGTTAGGTAGCATTTTCACGCAATACCTATGTTTCTCGCCTGCTTCTCTGAGTAACCATGGAGAAAGTGGTTTTTTTTCTCAGACTGCGTCGTCATATTCCTGTCAGCTTGATGATAGAAGTCGAATGAGATCTTTGAGTTGATGCGTGCTGTCACTGGTCGTTGACATATGATGGCAAGCAATGTAAAGGCTCAGAAACAGTCTCGTTGTGATTGTTCCATGGATAGAGAATTATTGATGAGGTTCTAATCACATTTGACTACAATGAAACTAGGCATAGGGAAATAACTGGGCGAGATTGGCTAAATCGCTTTCTGGTTGGTTTTCGGAACGTTTGAGCGAAGTTGGCTTGGAATCAGACTTTTGACATGGTTGTGGTCAAGTGATACCCGAAAAAAAAAACAAAACTTTTGTACCGTAAATGAACAACTTATCTGCTTATCCAGTTAAATGGAGAAAAAACGATGACGTTTAGGCTGACAGCCTGGTGGCCATTGTTCTTCGCTGTCATTTATACAAAAAGAAAGATTAAAGCAACTGTATGCCCATGTAGTTGCCATATATGCTTTTATAATCCGTTAAGAGCTTAGATATTCGTAGTATAGTAAGTATGGAAGTAAGCATACGTGAAAATGCCTCTGTTCCCTTTCCGTTGAAGTCATCTTACGTGGTTAAAAATAATAAAAGCTCTTTCCTGGTTGTTTGATTCCGTTTGTGATATGCACCCCCGTTTTCGACTTCCATTCAGATCACAGTGACGTCTTGAACGCATTTGTGGCTTATGGTTGTCAGTCTATGCTCAAACCTGTGGTTTTGTTCCCACAAATAGGCTGGTACCGCTTAATCGGCCCTAGAAGGTTTGGAATGGAATCGATCCAGGATTCGATCCCCGGGCACTAGGTGTGTGGTAGTGCGTCACTTGGCTCTACAACTCCAGTTTGGATTTTGTAGGGATAAGCTACGGAAAGGCTATTTCTGAAGAGAGTCAAAAAGCGCCTACCTCATTACGGACACTCCTCAAAATTCCAAAACTGTCCCAAAACGAGGAGTTCCCTAGCCGAAAAGTCGTGCTTCTGATCCATACCAGTCCGATACAGAGAGAGAGGCACGCTTTCGTCAGGTCTGCATAGTTTAGAGGCCATTGGCTATTGAAATTCGTATTCGATTGGGACCGACAAATCTTATGTCCTTTTGTGTAGCAGTCTCTGAGTGCCAATCTACTCCGGCAAGTCTTGAAATTAATGAACGGGTTCGAAAGTGCAGCGTTCTGCAAGCACGATAATCCCTTCCACGGTAAAATTACATTTCGCCACTCATTGCGAGAGAAATGACGGAAGAGAAAAACGAAGCAGGCGTCCATCTTTTGCATATCTGAAAGTAGTTTTTTTCATTTATCGCAGCATTCGCTGCTTATACGCTGCTGTCGTGAGCAATTTTTCGTCCTCCTATAAAGGAGCGGTGAAGAAAATGAATGGAGCCGTAGCGCAATCCACAAATTTAGAGACTGCCTAAAGTGCCTTTTTTGTCAGGTGTTTTTTGGCAGTGCATATGTCTCGAGTCATTTGGAGGTTTCCTAAGCTGATCAGCGCCTCCCTTCCTTTCTTTTTTGTCCATTACAAAGGCCCAAATTTTCATGAAAGTCAGCAGCTCTATTACTGTAATTGGAGGAAGTCCGCTTGAGTAACACCTTCTATTACATATTGCTTGCCATCTTGCCCAGAAAAGAGTTTGATACAATGAGAATAGTTATCCATAGTAATTCCATGATACTGCATCAGGTCATGGTCGAAGTTGTACTATTGAATTCCTCACTGGCGCGCAAAATTCACTGTCAAACACGGTCTGGAATTCATCGCAGAACCGTTGGACCACCTGAGGTTTTGTTGATTAAAAATCGACATTCGCCTAGACCAACCAAGGTTCCATCCCCGTTGGTGTCGGTTTGGTACTGGTGCTGGACCCGTCTGAGAGGATAAAAGCACTGACCTGCACATTGGCCGATCACCGCAAGTACTGTGCTATCCACATACGCATTCAATCGAAAATCAGTGACTGTGAAAGGAAGTCGAATAGGGGATCGCCTTCCCGGACGGTATTGGTTGACGCTCAAAGTCTTTCACTTTCTACTCATTTTATTCTCTACAGAAGTAGCTGTTACTAATGGTAATCTTGTAAAAAGCCTGCCTGAAGGACTTTTGTTTTTAGAACTGAACTGAAATTCGAAATAGCGCAAGACAGTGAATGACCTCTATCCAAATTTTCAGAAACTATGTCTTGTTTTAGTAGCAGTTTCCATCTATCCAATTGAGAATGGAAAAAAGATGTGTTTCCTTCCATACTAGTCAAGGTAAAACTGATGAACACTTTTTTCAGTGATCATACTATGTGCTTCACCGGATACTGTGCGCGAAATAATGCTTGCCGCCCACGAACTCGGAATGGCAACTTCAGGCGAATATGTATTCATCAACATCGACGTATCGACGGGGTGAGCAGATTACAAGCTTGACAAAAGTAAAAATAACATCAAAACATGATGGACGGAAAAGGGTCTTTCTCAGAGACAAATGGTGTGCCACAGTTTATTAAAAGCGCTATGTAGCTCAATAGACGGTCGATCGATTGCACTTCGATCTTTATATTTGAGAATATTGTCAAGCTAAATAGCTGATTCTGAATTTACTGTTGTTGGGTCACCATCGCATCGTTTTTGGCTCTCCTTTCTCGAGCACAGCCAAAGATCAACAATCTAGTTCCGATTTCGCTCCTGATACCATATAATGTTGTAATGTGATTTATCGGAACGTCATGCTTCAAAACTCACAAGAGAACCTTTTAAAAGTGTTTAAATCAGTGAACTCTTTCCCGGGAAGCCTAGAATAAGTGAATTCCAAAAAGGAGTGACTTCCCATCTATCGCTGGCGTCCCGCTTACATTTTATTCGCTTATTGAGCACAACTTTTTTTCCAGCTCACATGCAGAAAAACCGTGGGTACGTGCAAACGAGACGAATCAAGAGGAGAACGAAAAAGCAAAAGAAGCATATAGAGCTCTAAAAACTATATCACTGCGAAGGTAGGCTATTTATGATTGGATTTGAACCAAACTACAAAGTCTACTGTTTATGAAAATCCGCTCCCATTAGCAGTAGACCTATAAAAAATTCAATAGCAGTGATATGGTAAAGTGAATAGTCGGCCTAATGTTTCATAGAATTGCGCAAAAACCTTCCTATACATATCGAGGTGAAGATACCTTCGGGGCTTACCCCCTTTATTATCCACTCATACAGCCCGACCTCCTCATCCATACTTGTTATACATAGGTATATTAATTCCGGGAACTCATTCTACATTTTCTGAATAGCTTGCGCAAAATTCATACTTTATTTGTCAGGAGTGACTTGGAGGAGTACAAGAATTTTGAGAAACGAGTGAAAATAAGAGCCGAAGAGAAATATGACTACTCAAGGATAACTGGCAAAGAATATGAGGTTGGTAATCACTTCTCTTTGAGCGATTTCCACATTATTGTTCTTCTTTGAAGTTTGCTTTTGTTTCATTCTTGAACAATATCATTGATGTTATCATGTTATGTTATCATTCATTCAGTAAGGAATTTTCGCTTTCTAGGCAGTCTTGTATTAATGTTTAGAAATCCACTTTTTTTCAAAATAAGACCTCGCTCACCCTTGAACACCACCTCTGTCAACTGAAAACCTCAACGATTGCTCTTATTCTGAATATACGCAGCCGTGGAGATCTCTACAGAATAACTCATAGGACGTAGGTGTAGACTTACAGAATCTCTAGTTCCTGGAATTTATCTCATGTTGTCTATTCCCAACGCTTGACCTAGCAACTTTTGACTACTTGTTGTTACGCACTTCTGTGCACAAAAATCGCAGGGCATACCTTCCCCTGCTCTTCATAAGCATCGATGCCTCGAGCCCTTATAAGGTTTTTTTTATGTAACTGTTAGACTGTGGGGGAGAGAGATTGTTTCTTTTGACGAGTAGCTTGCCCTTGAATTAAGCCGCGCTCATCAATCCCTCTATCTGGAAATGTAAATTTAATTGCAAGCTACCCGCAATTTCCAAAAAAAAAAACGGATGCATGGTGCAATCCCAACTTTTTCCAGATTTTCCCACATTGGCACTATCAAATTGTTCCTCTTGACGAGCACACTACTATGGGAATGTTATGAGATAACTAGCTTTCGATTTAAGCAATGTAAATATTGCCGCACATTCCAATCACTCTGGCAATTTCCGAAGAAAGCGGATGCATGGCCAGTCCCAACTTTTTTCGGATACCCCTACATTGGCACTACCAAGCTGTTGCTCTTGTCGAGCACATTACAATGGGAATGTTTTGAGCTCGCTAGCTCTCAATTTAAACGAAGTAAATGATGTTCGAACACTTCTACTTCTTTCCTGCTCTTGTCAGGCTATACAATCTGCTAGATCAATGCCTTCCACGACGATATCTCTGTTTCCTGAGCTATTTCGCGTTCTTATTTCATGGTTGCCGTTGTGTTCCTGTGAAGCTTAACGACTACAACAGCAACTTTTGGCTTGAAATAGCTGCTGCGAACGATTACACGGTGTCACAAGTTTGTAGAAAATTTCGCACTAGTACGCAAAGTGTTACGCCGCTATGCCTCTCCTTTATCTCACATAATGTTAGCAATGCTATACAACAGAGCATTTCCAGAGCTGGGCATGATGTTATGCAACTAGTGAATATTACTGAAGTAAAATCATGCAGCTATTAGTTCAAAACAGGCTCTAATACAAGTAGTGCTCAACAAGAGATTGCATCCTATATCACTACGAAAAAAGGTTGATTGGTAGGCGCACTGGTAGGCGTGTTTACTGCCGGACATATCGGTCTGAGAAACAGAACGACAACTAGCTATACGAATTGAAGAGCACCTAGCCTTTCGGATGCTGAGCGAATCTCCAATTGTCTCAGGCATGTGAAGAAGACAACAACGTCGAAACGTTATGCCGTTGCTTTAATAACAATATCGCACGGCACAGTAATAGTTAATCATTGCTCATACTTGCCGCGTTCATACCAAGCGATTAAATTTGTAATTAGAATTAAAATTTAGAAACACGTTAATACTTAGTGAAAATGCGTTTATACTGAGCGAAAATGCGTTTATACTTAGCGAAAATGAGTTTATACTTAGCGAAAATGCGTTTGTACTTAGCGGAAATGCGTTTGTACTTAGTGAAAATGCGTTTATACTTAGCGAAAATGCGTTTATACTTAGCGAAAATGCGTTTATACTTAGCGAAAATGCGTTTATACTAAGCGAAAATGCGTTTATATTCAGCGAAAATGCGTTTATACTAAGCAAAAGTGCGTTTATACCTAGCAAAAATGCGCTGGCAAAAAGCCAATCCTCAGCCTAAGCCTAAGCCTAAGCCGAAGCCTAAGTTGAAGCCTGAGCTGAAGCCTAAGTTGAAGCCGAAGCCTAAGCCTAAGTTGAAGCCTAAGTCGAAGCCTAAGCTGAAGCCTAGGTTGAAGCCGAAGCCTAAGCAGAAGCCTAAGCCTAAGCCTAAGCCTAAGCCTAAGCTGAAGCCTAGGTTGAAGCCTAAGCCTAAGCCCAAGTTGAGGCCTAAGCCGAAGCCTGAGCCTAAGCAGAAGCCTAAGCCTAAGCTTAAGCCTAAGCAGAAGTCTAAGCCTAAGCCTAAGCTGAAGCCTAAGCAGAAGCCTAAGCCTAGGCCTCGGCCGAAGCCATAGCCGAAGCCTAAGCGTAACCAAAAGTGCGTATACAGGATTGCAATCTCATGTAGTTTGCCACCCTCGCCACAGTGCATTTTCTCTGTGCTCTCCCCGAAAAAGATTGAGTGTGAGCGAACTGCGCAAGATACGATACTTGGGTTGATGGAGACAACGTTATCACATCTCTGAGGAGGCCTAAAGAGGCCGAAGCCTTATGCTTAGGCTTAGACTTCAGCTTAAGCCCAAGCTGAAGCCTAAGCCCAAACAGAAGCCTAAGCAGAAGCCTAAGCCTAAGCCTAAGCCTAAGCCTAAGCTGAAGCCTAGGTTGAAGCCTAAGCCTAAGCCTAAGTTGAGGCCTAAGCCGAAGCCTGAGCCTAAGCAGAAGCCTAAGCCTAAGCTTAAGCCTAAGCAGAAGCCTAAGCCTAAGCCTAAGCTGAAGCCTAAGCAGAAGCCTAAGCCTAGGCCTCGGCCGAAGCCATAGCCGAAGGCTAACGGTGTGATAACGGTGTCTCCATCAACACAAGTGTCGTATTTTGTGCCGTTTTCTCACCGTGAATCTTCCCCGGGGAGGGCACAGAGAAAAGTTGGCGTTGCCTATCACATGCCCAAGTCGAAGCCTAAGCCTAAGCTTAAGCCTAAGCCTAAGCTGAAGCCTAAGCCTAAGCAGAAGCCTAAGCCTAAGCTGAAGCCTAAGCCTAAGCTGAAGCCTAAGCTGCAGCCGAAGCCTAAGCCTAACCAAAAGTGCGTATACAGGATTGCAATCACATGTAGTTTGCCACCCTCGCCACGGTGCATTTTCTCTGTGCCCTCCCCGAAAAAGATTGACTGTGAGCGAACTGCGCAAGATACGATACTTGGGTTGTTGGAGACACCGTTATCACATCTCTGAGGAGGCCTAAACAGGCCAAAGCCTTAGCAGAAGGTTAAGACGTAGCCTAAGCTTAAGCAGAAGGCTAAGCCTAAGCGGAAGCCTAAGACGAAGCGGAAGCCTAAGCCTAAGCCTATGAGGAGGCCTAAGCCTAAGCTGGCGTTGAAGCCTAGGACGAAGCCGAAGCCTAAGCCGAAGCCTAAGTGGACGCCTGTGCTGCAGCTCAAGCCTAAGCCAAAGCCGAAGCCTAAGTAGAAGCCTAAGCCTACGCCGAAGCCAAAGTACATGATTGCAATCGTATCGAGTTTGCAGCCCTCGTCACAGTGCATTTTCTCTGTGCCCTCCCGGGAAAGATTTACTGTGAGCAAACAGCAGAAAATACGATACTTGTGTTGATGGAGACAACGTTATCACATCTCTGAGGAGGCCTAAAGAGGCCGAAGCCTTATGCTTACATCACATTACTGCTGGAGTGAGCTGGCGATCACACGCCTAAGCCCAAGATCAAGCCAAAGCATGGCTAATCTGAAGCCGTTCTCTACCAGATCCCGGTCACCAGAACAGGCTTCATCGTGCACAAAATCCCCGAGGGCCCGGGACATCGCGAAATCGAGGTAAACCGTAAGCGCTCCACACGGGTCACGACACTCGCGGGGGCGTTGACACTCAGCTGTCTAGTTCTCGATTTAAACAGCGAAAATACGTTTATACTTGGCCACATTGCGATTAAACTGAGCGATAGTGTGTTTATACTCATCGATTTTGCGTTTATAGTTAGCAAAACTGCGTTTATGCTTGGCGATAGTGCTTTTATAGTCTGCCATTTTGCGTACATACCTTGCAAAATTGCGTTTATACTTAACGAAAGTGCGTTTACACTTAGCGATAGTGCTTTGCACCAGCAACAGTACGTTTATAGTTTATGGAATTAAAATGGAAATTCTGATGAGTATTGAAAAGCCGAAGATTCATGAGGACGTCAAATGTGTTTGAAAAGCTCGGAGCTGGTAAAGAGAAAGGAAAAAATGCGGAAATAATAAAACCCATAGTTTTTAAGGGAGGTTGCACTGAGTCGAGGGCTGCAGAAGCATAAGAGAAAAGGAAAATGCTGTAGCAAGTCGAAGGATTCTGTACCGACCTGTATTTTGCATCCGCGATCCAGCACGATAAGTGTGCGATCTTAAGAAGGAGCGCAATGGTTTCTTGCCAGCGCCCAGCACCCGCCGGCCAGCGGCCGAGCCGATTGGCCCCGAGGGACTTCACAAGCATTAAGAAGGGCAAAACACAGTCTTCCATTCGTCCGGGTCTGTTCATTATTCGCTTTATGTATCGAAAGTCTGGGATGCTATGAATTGGTTGTTCACTTTTAGAGCTGCTGATTGGTGCATTGACATCACAGCATTATTTGTGAGTATAATTATCCAAAACAGGGTGAATCTGAATTTTCAGATGAACAACTTTATTAGTGCTTTCTACGATGCCGTTCTATTGTATGCGATAGCACTGAATGAGACCATAACTGCTGGTATGGATCCTCGAAATGGTCACAATATCACCAGTAAGATGTGGGGTCGCACATTTGATGGTAAGTTCTGTGCATTTATTGCTTTAAGAGATTTCTCAACACGTGGCAATTCAGGCATCACGGGTAACGTGTCGATTGATGCCAACGGTGATCGCTATTCCGACTATTCTTTATTAGATCTCGATCCAGCTGTAGATAAATTCGTGGTAGGTCTCCTTTTCTGAGAAGAGAATGCTGTCCACGGAGGACGTCTGACAAACAGAGACCTTAGGCTCTTTCTTCTTTCAAATATTGATAGCCCGGTGCCTGATACTATGGCTGGCTGCAATTGTTCCATAGTTTACATTAACTGGGTTTAATTAAGAAACTATGGCTTGATGGGTATCCCGCATTCTGATCACCTACGCGCTGATTATGGCAGCTCCCAAAACTTCTTGTAACACTATAATTTTAGCGATTGAATGAGCAGAAAAGGGTTTGCGGTTTTTGGGTGTTGCTTGTGCACGCAGATCACTCTCACAATTAGTTCACTCGTAAAACTAATACCAACAATACACATCTAAACTCGCTGGCCACGTGTGGACAACACTGGTCAGATGAACGCAATCTGTTCAGTGTTGTCACCACGTGGCCGTTTTTCGGTCCGTTGGTCGTTGAAGTCTGGAAGCAGCCCATGATGGTTAATTGCTTTCTCACGCGGGCATCTGGATATCGAATTGAAAACAACTTTGAAAAGGCTTAAGCGCCAAAGCTCCCATAGGTTTGATCGACAAGCTTTCAAGATTCGATAACTTCTGTTCAGGAAGTTGCCTATTATTCGGGTGCATCGAATGAATTGAAGAAAGTAACCGATTTCCATTGGATTGGCGGCAGACCACCACGTGACTCACCTATTTGCGGTTACGACAACAGCAAATGCCCCAAGGCAGGTTTTTCACTTTAGTAATTACTTTTCTTGATATGCACTCTTCTTAGAATGAAAAGTTGTTCATTATTGATCGACCAACCAGTTAAATTTTGACAATACAACTAAGTTTCCCACCGGAGCACTATGGGTTTAGTACTGATATGACACCTTGAAGGTACGTTTGTGGGAATTGGCGACAGACCACTAACTATAAGCTTGTATGATCACATACGCTTCAAATCGCCACCACGACTCCGAATGGGAGTCGAATATGGGGGCGAACCTGGGAAACGGAATTGATCAACACCGATGCTTGATTCTCCTGCCCTTTTTTTCGGATTTGTAAAAAGTCGAAACTCTGTGTGATAGTGTCTACAGTTTTCCACCCCTGAATCTTACTTTTGATTTCTCACAGTAGTCATAAACGAAAGTGAACGATCAGAAAATCAACGAAAAAAAATTACTCTAAGTAGTTGGATAAATAAATTTTTTTTGGAAGAAAAATTTACGGGGCAGAATTTGAAGAAATGTTGCCATTGACATAAGTTAATTCCTTTCCAATCTTCCGTTTATTCTATAGTTTCTTCTTTTGCACTAAACTGTTTTCATTACTATTTTCCCAGTGATATTTTCCTTTTTCTTTTTCTTCTCCCAAAAGCTCAGTCATTAAGAAGTTTTATAGGGTTATCCTCTTCATGTTTATCTTCTAGCAGCGTCCGCAGGACTTATTTTATTGCTCACTTTGCTGTTTGTATTCTTTTGGCGGTGAGTCCGATGTTATCCATCGATGGTCCTTTTTCATCTTCTTCTTTTTATTCAGTGTTTATCCCACTCAAAAGCTACCTAGAGCATATCCTTTTTCTATCGTTTCTCAGACTTCCATTCTTTCTATTTAGACGTTATAAGCTAGAACAAGAACTAGCCGCTATGTCGTGGAAAATTCGATGGGAAGAGTTAGACGGCGAGGAGTCACAGAAAAAAGAGAAGAAGAAAGCCAAGAAGAAACGTTCGGGTACCTACTACCCTGAATCCGACCCACTTCTTCGTTCGAATTCTCGCGGCAGTGTCAGTAGTGACAAGGTGAGTAGCCAGTTTCAAAGAATGTGCATGACGCAGATCATCATGCACGAACCCCACCCACTTAGCCCGTGCCACGCCCCCGCCACTCCTTTGTACTCCATATATAAAAAACTTTCACACCTTTACTTCTGTGAGCGTAATACCTTTTTGTGTTTTATTAAAAACTCGCATTTTTTGAATGCTTTTTGTTTATAGGTGCGCTTTTCTTTTTTACGTTCTGAACGGTTCTTTTTTCTGTTTCTGTTACCTGTTACTCTGGGCGGGGGCGGGGTAGGGACAGGCTCTACGCACGGGAATGGCGTTTTTGCGTAGATACTCCCACAATTAGAACGCTTTATTCGTGAAGCATATTTAATCGTGTTAGAGTTGCCACCTCTATTTCAGTACGATGAGGATATGCTAGCCCCAACGGCTATGCGAATGCGTTTGGTACGTTTTGCTATGTATTGGTCTACTTGTGTTTGTAACTGAAGTGGCTTGTATGTCATGCAAGCGCGCACACGCACCCACCCACACACACACACACACACACTTACGCACTGAGTTGCAGTTGCAGAGAAGAGAGGGAGCTTTGATTCTGATGGAGCAAGGTGAAAGGAAGTAGGATTATCCATATTCGAGCTACTTTCTAGATGGACTGTAAGAAATATGGAGGGATGGAGGGGTTTCCAAAATATATCCTTCTTGCATAAAAATCTTAGGAACATCCTGCAAATACTGGGGTGTTGAGCAGCAGCTGATAACTGAGAATCTTTACTCTGGACCCTCTATGCAACCTAAGACAACCATGATCTGAAGTTGGATGATTTTGCAGTTTTTTCCTTTACGAGAAATCTCTCTTTTGGCTTTCTCCTCTAGTTCTTGAAAGATTACCCCTTCTGAAATCTAACGCTTATCATTTAGTGTGGTTCTTCGCACGTACTTGAAATCTTCAAAAGCTTTTTTCACATCTTTCTTTTCATCTTTCGCCCATACGTTTCTTCAAAAGCTTGGCAGTAACGCTTCCGTTCAAACGGATTTGCTAGTAAATGGCATGGAATATCTTGAACACAGTGCACACACAGTCTTCCACAAAACGCGTTTCTGAATTTATCCAACAATCACATTCAAACTGCCGAATCCCACATGAAGTTCAGCATCGTCCAAGGTCCTCGATCATCTCTTACAATAAGTCAGAAGAAGGGTTCTCCAGCAGCACCCTCAGAGTTTTTTGGTTCTTGATTTGTTGCTCACTTGCATCGATCTGGATCAAATGAGTGAACGAATTCATAAAATCCAATAACGTATAGAGCGTTATGAACAAGATATCTATATCTATAGTCAGCTGTAGACTAGAACTTTCGCTGGGCTTTCTCTCTGCTCTATCCGACACTACCAAACACTTCTTCTTGAAATGCAATAGCACTATTCACTGTGATGCAAAGTGCATGGCCGTTTCTGATTTCCTTATTGTGATGTCGGTGTTCCCCCACAGTCAAGTTGAATCTGCTGCCAATTGTACTACGATAATGCGACCACCTGAGCGAATACGGGCCATCCCGTGTCCCCTTATATGTACGATTCTACGAAGCACCAATGTATAATAGTTCCACTTCCAGTTTCCAGCTTGTAATACCGTAGTATGATCTCCTTAGGGCCCATTTATGAATCCCACTCCATCGTTCCCCTCACCACATTTGAGTGGTCGCTCTACTGCGCTAGAGAGCTTAGTAATGATTTTTAATAACGCTGCAAACCGATTTACCCGATATTGGTTGATCGGAAACTCCGAGGCAAAATGGACTCTTACATAATTACGACGTTGTATAACTTCGCTAACGTCCGACCAACCATTACTCCGACTGCTACTACTTCAGTGTTATGGGCTTACCATATAACTACCTTTATCATTACAAGGGAATTTCCGTGAATAGACAGAAACACAGGCAATCAGAAGTACTGACAGACCGACAAACCGACAGACCGAGCACCCACACTTTCAAGCTGCTGCTTTGTAGACAATTCAATCGCTTGACAGCTGGTGATTAGCGTTTTTCGAGCTTCATTGCGATCTACTCCATAGCGTAGTCGATTGCCTAGCAAATATACACGAAAGTCTATTGATTTATTGTGAGTCGAGTGGTGATAGCAGAGCTTACCTGAATCGATTTCCTCGATCAGTCGACTATTCACAGTTAAAGGCAGTGTTAACAAAAAAATTGTTTCGGACATTCGCACATAGTTTGAATTCGACGCCCCCTCTGATACCATTTGTGCAGGAGTGAGGTCGGAAAACGGCTGGATAGGGCACAATCAGGGGCCGGACAGATATCCACGGTCGCCCTCCGCCCCTTGATCGGTGTCACGTTAGACGAGTGTCGAGACGACACAGTGTCATGTAATCGCGTCAGGACTCACCTTGAATTGCATATTGGCAAATTGCCAGAGACGCAATGTGTTGCCTGCTATTGCATTGCGTCTCTGGCAAATTGCCAATTTGCCGTCACTGGCAACTTGCCAATTTGCCTGAACCCTCTCTAACCGACGTTTTCTCAATGTGAAACTCGTCCAACCCCCCTTTCCACCTCTTTTTTTGATCCTTCGTAATTCTTTCTGTTCATCGTTTTTCGTGCTTTTTTCGTTGTTATCGCTTTACTCTAGAGTAGTTCTGTCAATTCCCGTCAAAAAAAAGGTACCCTAACTTTTTTGTTAACACTGCCTTTAAGTAGCGCAATTGTTGTTGTGTGGCAGTTGGGGTCACAAATCTACCACAGTCAACATAGAAGTAGATAAAAGTCATTTAATTGACGAAGTAAATAGTAATTGTCATTGGAAGCAAGTAAAACATTCTCAGATGGCTGACGGAATGGCTGCTTTCATAGTCCGCCGGCCGGCCGGCCGGCGTGCTGGCGGAGGCAGTGCTAGCGGGGAGGAGGGAGGCAGACAGATAGGCAAACAGTCCACGCCCCTTCGAGGGGTTGTAAACAAACAACCTTCGAAGGGGCGTGGACTGTTTGCCTTACACTGCCTGTCTCCCTCCTCCCCCCTAGCACTGCCTCCGCCGGCACGCCGGTCGGCGGACTATGAAAGCAGCCAATCAGTTTGGCTCCGGGGAAAATCAGTCAAGATTTACATGGACGCTCTCCGCCTGAAAGAGGGAAGTTATGAGTTTTAGGAGCACATACACACTCACTCACACGAGCGTACATATATATGTACGTATGCATGTATTGTACATATTCTTAGCGATTTGCTATGGAAATGATAAGCTTTGGCGACAAAAGTTATTGCAACCGGCCTGCAGTTGGGAGATTCGGTTTGCTTAGGGTCCGCTCCTTGCTGAACCGCCTTTCAACTTCGCCCATCAATTTCGGCACATCTGTACTACGGGGTCCTTAGCCTTAGTATAAGCCTTATTCAGCGTTCGTCCAGCTCTGGTGCCACCCGTAAAATCTCGGCTATGATCGACAGAAAGTTCAGTATTTTCACAAGAAAGAAGAGCTCGCCAAATCAGGACAAGAATGGCGGCATCACTGGCGTTCATGGAAATGCTTTGAAAGAGATCGAGGTGAGGTTCCAAATACCACTTTTACCTTTTAACCAGTTTTTGCTTATTACCTTTTTTTAATATCTCAAACATTGAGTACATGAACTTTTTACTCCCACTTCTCATTAAGTGTACCTTGTTCTTGATCGACAGCCAGGAACGAAAGGGAATGGCCTGTCGACTGGCTGGTAAACGATACCACTTTCACACAAACAACTGGACTGTACATTTGCACCATCCATTTCCACAGAAATAAAAACTCTAGAACAAGAACGCGTTTCTTACAGTAACTAACCTGTGGGTCCTGGCTAGAACGCTTAGTTGAGATGCAACGCGGACAGCTAACTATCCTACCCATGATCAAATGTCCTGGCCATGGTCTTTTTCGATGTCTCGTTCATGTGATGCGACTGAGATGTTATTTTGTGGATGATAAGATGTACAGATGATGGAAATGTATTTGGGAAGAGTATGGAGAAGAGGCGTTCGTTCTCGCACCGTTGTCTGCGCTCTCTTAGTGAGTGGCGAGCCAGTTACAACTCCATTCCAGCTTTCCGCATAAATTCAGCATTTCATTAACTCGGTGTTCCTTTTTCGGCAAAGGCCAACGACTCCATTTCCTGGCTTAAAATCGTTCC